TCCGTTGATGGAGAGCAGATCTGTGAGAGACACATACTGAGAGAATGGGCCAAAGTTCTTCTGCAGCCACTCAACACTGTTGTTAGCAGTCAACACACAGCCCGCATCTGACACACACAACAGACACAGTGAAATCACCTTCATGAACTCCAGAACCTTCATATGAAACATCTGTGAACCTCCCCATGAAGACTGAAACATCTGTGAACCTGCACCTCACCTGTTGTGTTTCTTCTGAGGAAGGGCAGGATGAAGAAGTTCACCATGTTTCTTCCTTGAGACTCATTGACGAGTGTGACCTCTGACAGACTGAGAAATGGTTGAAAATAATGTTGAACAAGCATCTTATCAGCTCATGACAGTCTTTAGCTATTGTTGAGGACATCTTTTCTTACATGTGCTGGTAAGTTTGGCAGCTGAGGTTTTTGCTGCTAGTGCACTGCAGTAGGGATGATGACGCAAACGGTAAAAACGGCTTCAGATATTGACCCAACAACATGCTGATGAAAGGGAGGTCTCTCCATTGGTCAGGACTGATGCGCTCTTGTCTCAGCTCTCCAATCACATCCAGCACTTGGGACACAACATCACCTCTGATTGTCTGAGACTGATGATGTAATGAGGAGGAATTACTGTCAGATTCCCAGTCAATCTAACACTGAACACTAGAGGACAGATGTACAAGGCTCATTTACCATATTTGCTGCTGCGCTGGAGAAGATGACGAGGGCTTCGTCCAGAACATCATTTGCTTTGGTGAAAAGCAGTTTCCAGATCTCCTTGGAGTAACTGCTGCTGCTGGATAGTTGACACTTCAGGAGTCCAGCCAGGTTTCCAGCAGTGAAGCCTGTCAGCTACAAACACAGAAGATTTCATCAGTGGACATCAACGTTCAGGAAATATTATGCTGATTCCAGAAACTGCTGCACATTTGGAGGGACACAGATTCCCAGACAATCATCAACATCAGCTCATGTGAACTGAGTTTTCTGTTCATGGTCTTCTTACCGAAGAGCAAGCGTACTGCTGCAGGTCCACACTACAGGGGGCGCTCACGAGTCCAGCGGACAGGAGAGTCTCGTTACTGTGGGGCAGATAAACTCTTCTCATTATTTTTATTTACTTTGAATTTTATTTTTACTCAGTAAAAATTCCAAAAAAGAACAGTACCTGCTGATTCCATTACAAATAGAGGATTCTGTAAAAGTAAATTAAAAGGAAAATAAGAAAAACAGACAGCACATTTTTGTTTATGGTACTTTACAGCTTAAACAATATTAAACTTACCATTGATTGATGTTGAAATACACTGCAAAGTACATGACCATAAATTAATAATAGATTATGAAGTACTTTTCTTTTATGTTTATGAAAATATCAACCCATGAGATTAAAACTTGTGTTTCTTACCGTAACAGGTGGAGGAAAACAGCCTGTTAAAGACACAATAGTAAAATCTCAGAGTTACAGCATAGAAATGTGTCAATCAAAACTGTAGCTTAGAGACTAAATTTTCTGACTAAGAAGATATTGAGTTAATCTGCCATAATGTTAACTTGTTTCGTTTGTGTGCATGTATCTGTACCAGGAGGTGCCATCTGTTCCAGCTGACTCATGTAGTCCTTGATGGGTTGCATCATGTGTGGAGGAACCACAGATTCCTGCAGCCTCTGAACCCTGAAAGAGAGAGAAATCATGTGAAACTGGGCCTCGACCGAAGCAGTGCAGAAATAGTAAAAGAAACAGTGTAATATAAAAAGTTTTACTTACATCTGCTGGTATGACGAGCACTCCAAACCCATCTGACATAAAAAACAAAATAAGGGAAAAAAAATCACCTTACTCCAAAGCAATTATACGTGCTGCCATATGTCCACAGACAGACAGTCTTTGGCATAGATGCTCTTACCTGGCCAGCGAGCATGATGAGATATCCAAGCATCTCAACTAGACCACGGTCTTCAGGAGAAACCAGGATATGATCAAAAAGTATGTTTATGATGATACTTTTCTCTGGCAGACCGGCAAAATCCTCAACTATGAGTTCAGCTGTCTGTCTGGGGGAGAGAACCACCAGTGCATCTATCTGAAATACACAAAGAAACATTTAATTTAACAGACAAACAGAAATCTAATTATCAATCACATTAAACAGAGAATAGAGCTGAATCTTTGTTTTAGAAACAGAATAAAACAAGCTGAAATGCAGCAGATGTTCTTGTCAGTGGGAATGTGGGTAACTCACAGCGCTGAAGTCTTGGTTCAGCTGGTACATTTCCCTCAATGTTGCAAACTTTGAAAATCCACCAAGATTCAGAGTAACCCAGATGCTGCTGTTCTCCGCAGGGCAGCCACCTGAAAACATGTTGATAAAATATATTTATAGATGGATGGATGGATGAATGTATGGATGGATAAACAGATAGATGGATAGATGTACCTGAAACATTTTGTCGGCTCAGGAAGGATCTGATGAAATACTGATAAACATCCTGCACACCTTGTTCTGACATCAGGAGCATGTTGTCACTGAGTTCTGAAACACTGAAAGGACAGCATGTAGGTCAGGTGAGAGTGGAGGTCAGCTGAGAACAGAGTTCATCAGGTGGGATTAGCATTTATGCGTTCAGTGGGCATACAGTATCTGGAAGGTCTGGCAGCTGAACTCTTTGTGACTGAGGCACGTGAGATATTCTGGAGTCAGTGTGGAGAGAAGAGGCTTTAACTTGATCTGGAACCATAATCTCACAAACGACTCATCCTGCAAGTTGCTCATCGTGAATGTGTCATGAACCGTTTGGTCCAGGATGTCACTGAAGGGGGAACTCTGGGAACTGAAGTTCTGGGCAAGAAACAACATGCAAACAGGAATTATATAAAATACTGGTTTCTACACAGCTGATGTGAGATCTGGCAGTTCTTACAGTCATGGAGAGCTGCTGCAGCAGAGCGTTGAGGTTCTGGGAGAGATGCAGGAGGACATTCGAGAGCGTCTCCTCATTGAGCGTGAGGTTTGAGAGTGCTGCGCAGTGCAGGACAGTGGCCACATGTTCCACCAGGTCCGTCAGCTAGAAAGACATAAACACTGTGTGAGATATGATATGAAATCCTAATGCCATGCCAGCAGAGAAGATGCTTGGAATAATGTGTATGTATGTTCCCAGCCTGCGTTTAGCTTACCCCACACGTTCTATTATCAATAAAGACACTGCAGATGTCCTGACTTTCATTCTGGGCTCCAGTTCCCATTCCCGTCTCAATGTAGCTAAATAGTAAACACCCCAAACCACATCAGAGCATTCTCAGTACTCCATCAGAGGAAGTTTCTGGATAGCTATGACATTACTAGTGCAGCAAACTCACAACTGGTTATGGAAGACAGCCGTGAGGTTTGGGTGGATTTCTATCTGGCCGGGAGGAAGAAATCGCCGGAGTATGGGAGAAACCACATGCGTGAACCAGTCGTTAATGTTCACGGGGTCAAACGTGACCAGCTGCTGGCTGGAATTCTGCTTGAACGGAGCGGCGAGCTCGGCAAGTGTCAGGTTGATCATGGCCTGCACCAGTGTGGTGCTCCGCATGCTGCTCAAGTTTTGCTTAAGGAAGAGAGCAAATACAGACAGCAGAAATTAGGAGATGGGGTTTTGGGTTGTAATGCCTTACTGAATGTGTGTTTGTGCTTTTACCGGCTTCGTCAAGGACACAAACTGTCTAACAAAACTCCCGACAGGACTAAATGCCGTCATTAATCCATTCAGTGCCTGAAACCACACATCAGACCAGTTTATCATTCAATATCACAGTCTCTTAAACATCTACTTATTTACTCATCTACATCAGGGCTGGGCAACCATGGCCCTCAAGATACACCTTCTTGCAGAGTTCAGCTTCACCAATAATCACACAAAACCATCTATAACTTTCTAGTAATCCTGGAGATCTTGGCTAGTTTGTTCCAGTAGGTTTGATTAAGGTTGGAGCTGAAATCTGCAGGAAAGTGGTTCTTGAGATCAAAAGTTGCCCAGTTATGATTTACATCCATGATACTGTGACTGGTATGATTCTTGCCTGTCCAAGAGGGTCCTGAGGTGAGGCAGATGGAACGGTGCTCATATAATACGCTGTGCCATTGTTGGAAGGCCATGGGTCCTCAGAGGGCAACAGAGAGGAAAGCAAACTCTGAAACACCAGGCCGAGGGAGCTGTTCGTCAAGCCCACCACCTCGGGATGAAGGAGAAGCTCTGCCTTCTGTTCTGGACTCAAGAGGTGCAAAACCTCCAGCTGACAAGACAGTGAAGAACCTCAGAAAATCTCCAGGACATCAGCACAGAGCTGAGGTTGCCATCGAATGACCATCAGGATAACATCAGATGCGAGAGTGAGTATTCCTACCCCGCTGAAGAGCATGTTGATGGATGTGAAGTCTCGCACTTGAGCCATGACCGAGAACGAGCCGAAGTTCTTCATGAGCCAGTCCTCAGTGCTGTCCTCTGGATCTACACAACCTACAACAACACACAATCAGACTACACAAACCTGCACAAAACCCTCACAGAACACAAAACGCCAGTGCAAGAGGTGAAGTGTTACCTGAGGATGTGTTTCTAGAGAGAAACGGGTACATGAAGAAAGCATAGATCCACTTCTGTCGCACTGGATCCAGACCGGAGAAATGCTGACTCAACTCCTTCACACTATACACACAACAAAGCACACACAGTCAAACACACACATACACAATGAGGTCCTCGTTCATATTCTGCTTTTAGTGTGTGTTGTCATACACAGTCTGGTAGGCGCTGCAGCTGAAGTTTCTGTTGCTGAGGCATGTGAGGAAGTTTCTGGAGATGGACGACAGCAGAGGAGTGAGTTTGATGTCCAGCCACGCTCTGATCACGTGATCCTCATTCATACTGACGCCTCCCGACAGATCCACGACCGGCACGCTGGCCACACTGGAGCGCTGCGAGACAGACAGCGTCACGGCGGAGCCGCAGCAGTGAAGGCTCATGGGATATGTGTGTGTCTGTGTGAGTGCTGGTGTACCATGAAGGAGTAGACATCCAGAGCGGCGCTGATGAGTCCCTTCAGGTGAAGGATGTGGTCTGCATCAGGCTCTGATGGAACGCCAGCACACGTCAGGAAGCTCCGCGTGGGACCGTCCAACTGAGACGCCAATAAATACAGCACAGATTGAGAATGAGAGTTTACGGCATTAAATGTGGGTTCGAGTCCCATTCGAGGGAAGTCTTGTTAACTCTGCGACCATACTTGCAATGCCTCCGGGCATCTATATCAGACACCAAGTCCTTTTTAACTTGAATGGAGAAATCCTGAAATCTCAAAAACTGCTTGCCACAGTTATGTTTAACTTATTAACATAATTAACAACTTGACATATTTCAAACCAGCAACAAATACTCCAACAGCATTAAAAAAGCTTATATTTCAGGCTGGAGTTTGGGTTCCTTGCCACTGTCACCTCTGGCTTTTAAAAGATACTTAATATTTAGTCATGTTATTGATTTAACTGCACTGACACTATCAGATGAGAACAGAACTGAATTGATCTGAATAAAGACACCATTCCGTTTTGTAGAGCTGCTTTTTATTATATAAAGTGCTATATAAATAAATTTGACTTGACTTGATTTTGGATTTTGCCTCTATACTACTGTTCAGAGTTCAACAGAATCCATCATTCCCATGTTTTGTATGTTATCTGAACTGCAGGAGCTGCTCTAGAAGTCTATAAGTAACATGCTCCATAGGCTTTCTCTAGTGACTGATGGCAGTGGAGGGGTTTCATTGTGTCTATGATCTTGTTTTTGTCTAGGTTACTTTTATTTAGAAAGAGTGGTCATGTTCCCTTTGGTTTCACGTTTCTGTCTGGAGGATTGTTGTCTAATCAGCCTGTTTGCGTCTGTCTCCAGTGTTGTTCTGCTATTGTCTTGTTAATGGTTTTGGTTAGTCATTGTATCACCTCTGAGAACTCTGTCATTTTATTCATTTTAATGCTAAAAAAGGCATTAGATTTCTTTATATCACATCGCTCATCTTGCATTATTGTTTAGTTCATATTGAGTGCGTGTGTTTAGCTCTGCTGTCCCAAACAGACAAAACTCTCCAACAAAGAACAATCTAAAAATATCTTGTGTGTGTGTGTGTGTGTGTGTGTGTGTGTGTGTGTGTGAGTGTGTGTGT